TTTCCTAGGTGTGTCCGTACTTGGAGCAGTGATCCAGAGAGAGGGAGTGATAGAAAGAGGATCTCAAACAAATGCATATGACGAAAGGATGAAATCTGACTGCGCTCCCTTCCAATCACGGGGTACACCAGCCGCAAGCTACGTGCTCCCTGCAACAGGGCAATAGTGGAGGGTGAGTGGAGAGCTCGTTTTACTACGTGATTATGCCGTGACTACACTAACGGTCCTTGTTGTGTTGAGCCGGCCTAATGTAGCGCACCTCAGCAGCAATCTAAACAGAGGTTATATGGTATTGTGAAGGAAAAACTATAGTGATAGCAAGACAGTATCCCACAGATTCCCGCGTGACAGCAGCAGCAGTATCTTATGCTGGTCTTATGCTGATGGTTCTTTCAATGGTGGAACTATGTTGTGCGAACACAACAACAAATATGCCAATAAGTAGTATGCTGCATGAGGGGCATTGATACACATATGCTATCGAGTTCAGTGACATAAGGGACGTGTCAGCACGGTGTTGGAAGATGCTATGACGGTACGACTGCAGCTGTTCGCTGCGTGAGCACGGCAGCAGCACAAAGTTTTGCAGGAACGGTACTTGTGAAGAGAAACTTCATCTGGATATCAATTTGCCTATGCTCAGGATGATCGGAGTAGACCAGTTTTGACAAGTGACACAAAAAGACTCGGATTTTGAAACTCAAGGAGCGCTTGCAGCTATCAGACCTCCGCAACCCACAGTGCAAAGTCACAAGCCTCGCAAGGATCCAACAAACTGATTACGGCCTTGGAGAGCAGGACTCCACCGCAAGGCACAGTCTCAGGAATACAGACTCGGACGCAGCGACAGACTGTAACCCTTAAACTCAATGGCATCGACCCTCCAAGAGGGGATATGAAACTCAGATTGTGAAAAAGAACCCAGCGTACCAATTGTTGTTGCCTGGATGGCTAGTTCAATCACTGGCTATAGTATTCTGATTCGAACTAAGGCGAGGAAAGGTCGAATGAATGTCTGGATTTCATGTGGGATTAGGAATCAGAAGGTTGTTAGTTTTATTTTAAATTCATTCCATTTTGATCATCTGTAATATCATATCTGAAAGTGCTACAAGAAAGGTGCGATGACAGGAAGAACAAGCTGAACTCACCTTGCTGGTCGCTGAGGACCTCGGAAGCGGGCGCAGCGGGTGATTGACGCTGTAGCGCTTGGCTTCAGCGAGCAGTAGGCGACCCCTCCCCGGGTCTCCTCACAACGTCACCGTTGGACACTATCACTCCACGCACGACCAAGAGCGAGGACCATCTTCTTTTCTTGCGTCGGATGCAAGAGCTTCTTGTCAAGGCACGCGACCAGATGGCGAAGACACAGCAGCGCATGAGCCAGCAGGCAAATCGCCTGCGTCTCCCTTGTCCATTCCGCGCCGGGGACCTCGTCTGGGTTTCCGCCGCGGAATTCAGCCTTGAACAAGACATCTCTCGCAAGCTCCTTCCGAAATGGATGGGACCTTGGCCGATCATAGAGCCCGCTGGGGACGCACCCGAAGGACCTTCCTTCACGATTCAGGTGCCTAGCGACTTGCCCGTCTACCCAGTCTTTCATTGCTCCAAATTGGCTCTCTACACGCCTGCGGAGCATGACGATTTTCCCGGGAGACGTACACAGAATCCTCCTTCCATGGATGGTTTTCAGGAGGTCGGCAACATCATCTCCCAGCGACGCTTTGGCAACAAGCCAACTGAGTATTTGGTGCATTTTGCATACTGCACCCACCAAGCTGACCGTTGGTTAACCCGTGCGRAACTTCAAGCGACAGCTCCAGTTGTTCTCGCACGCTATGAGCGCAAGATGCAAGGCAAGCCGGATTCCTCGGCTCCCCGCCGCACCCGCGTCCAGGTTCCACCTTCAGATCGACGGCTTCGCCCTCGCCCCGGCTTGACTTCATAAGGAGGGGGGGGTGTTACATGCTGCACATGCACACACAGACCATTTTGCAGGCCCGACGTCGTTCAGGCCAAAAACCTGAATTTCGGGCTTTAAGCCTGATATCCAAGGCTTACAGGCCCCGCCGACGGTTCAGCCTAATAGCCCGAGAAAGGACCTACAGGCTCCAGCCTGTTTCCCTACAGGGAAACTTCCAGGCTCTTGCCTGGAAGCTTCCTTCTGACAGGGCCTGCAGGCCCTAGCCTATTTCCCTACAGGGAAACTTCCAGGCTCTTGCCTGGAAGCTTCCTTCCGACAGGGCCTACAGGCCCCAGCCTGTTTCCCTACAGGGAAACATCCAGGCTCTTGCCTGGAAACTTCCTTCTGACAGGGCCTACAGGCCCCAGCCTATTTCCCTACAGGGAAACTTCCAGGCTCTTGCCTGGAAGCTTCCGCAGGGTCTAGGCCAGGGAGGCATTGGCAAGAGCGGCCTCGTACGCATAGGGCATTGGCACGACCAGCCTCCTGCACGGGCCAGCACTATAAAGGACTGGCCCTCCCTACAGGAGGGAGGCAGTCGGTAGTTGTAGTCTTCAGGATTCAGGAGCAGCCCTCTGGAGGGAGCGCTGCGTTATAGTAGTGGTAGCGTTAGCTAGTAGCCTTCGGTGCTGGGCGCCATAGCTAGGATAGTGGTAGAGAGAGAGAGAGAGCTTGGGCGGAGGCCAGGGGTACCTACCTGCAGCGCCGTTGCTCCAGCTTCGTCTTCAAGGTACCTGCAGCACAGCGCCACATCACAGGTTAGTATCTGGTTCGTAACAGTGAGAGAGAGTGAGTTCTTCTTCCTCTTCTTCTCAGTCCACCATCTCCTTCTCTCCCTCTCAACCCTTGACTTCACTGCATTTGCAGAATGCGAGAGAAGAGATACCGAACTTGGTGATATCGGATCCAAGACTCGACTTTTTGGGATTCAGACATGGCAACGAGGGGTTATTTGGGATCGGTGACAAAGACTTGGTGTTAACGACACTCCCATSTTCSTCCCTCCTTTCGTCTGATCCTTACTTCTTCGTCTATGCATGTCTGGACCYGGCGCTTTCTTCYTGTGTGCAGCGCCAGGCTCCTTCACACCTGGTGAGGGGTRCGATGCATGTTTGGTCTGAGTTCAACCATCGGTTGRACTAGTTATCAAYATTCTAGYAGTCTGTTYCGCTACTTGCTACTACGTGTGTAAGGTCAGTCCTTGYCAGGKCAGTCTTTGTATCTAAGTSTTCCCTGCRCTATTCAGCACTTTTGTATGTATGAGAATGCACATTGTCTGTCGAGATTCTACTCTCACCGCATTGTCCATTTCAGTCCTTTTCGTCACATTGCAGTTCCTCGGTTATTACAAACATCACATATCTGTGCATGTAACAGTCTGCCTCCCGGTCTCTTGCCCACTTGAAGTTCGGATCCCGGCGGACTACCCCTTCTCACCATTCCGAACTTGGGTGCCTGGGTGTCTTCGTGTGCGGCTTTCGCTGCGCTACAGCCTGCGTTCACGTGCGTCAACGAGTGTTCTGTTTCTCCTGTGTTTTGATATACGTTGACTTCATGGTGTGCTGTTCGATTTGCGTTGTCGTTCACAGACTGTATGTCTTCTTCCAAGGGCGAGGTGGAGCCAACAAGGACCTCCGGGAAGGAATCATGAAAAAATTCCACGAGGCAGTCGTCTACTGCCACGCAGGGGTGGTCGAACCATTCGAGGTCGAAATGGTTCATCGATTGGTGCTGTGGAGACGCTTTCAACCCCACTGCGCAGCCATGTGGTCCTGTCATCTTCATTGATGACAGCAGAAGGCGTACAGTGCTTGGTGTCGTCTTGCGGTGAGAGGACGTAAAGGGGGGCAGGCAACATTTCTATATGCAGAAAGTTTATGGCGCCAAGGGCAACGTTGTTGCCAATTTGAAAGGGACGTTGTTGGACCTCGAATTGTGTGAGGGGTTCGGAGCGGGTGTTGTGAACACCCCGTTCTACAGAGAACTCGTTCTCGGGGGCGGTTTTGTTTTTGCACGTGAATTTTTCGACATGTTGGAGGACAAAAACATCGCTCTAGAGGTCCCTTGCGACGTCACCCCATCCCGGGAGTTGTCGTTGCCGTTGAGGTTGTGCAGCGGTTGCGAGTCAAGCGGGGCAGCCCCGAAGGGCGGTGATCTGGGTTCTGGTCCCGCCACTCAGCTGCACCGTGGCGAGAGCCGCAGTCAGTTCGACGACAGCGAGGATGAGGGGACTGCTCCGCCGTTGAGTGACACGCGGCGGTCTGTGTTGTCTATTCCTGGGGTTCAGAATGATGCTCCGGTTCAGCAAAGGAGTACGGGGCCTGCAGTGCAGGTGGCGGCCTATTCGGAGGTTGACTTGGAGGCGAGCGAGGGACAGGGTGTGGAGGAGGTGGACGCGGGAGGCCTGGGCTTGCAAGGAGCTCCGCAAAAGAGGAGGCGGGATCGTCCTGACGAGTTTGCCGGTTCTACGAAGAAGTTAAAGAGCAAGGCCCCCAGGACTGAGGGGGAGAAACGCAAGGGGACCGAGGGGGAGCAGGGCCGGCAGGTTGCCAAACGACCGTCTTCGAGACAGAAGCAGCCTGAGTCTGGGTCGTCTTCTCTACCGACAACAGGGACTCCCATCGACGTTGACGCCGGCTACTTTCTTGAGTACAAGGACGGCGTTCGGACAAAGCGGGAGTTCGACATTAGCCCTGCAAAGGTCGTCGACCTCGGGGACAGGGAGAACCTGTACAACCAGCGGTCCCTGGATCCCGTGCTCGTGGAAGGGATCAAAGAAGCGATGCGGTTGGCGTTCAAAAACAAGGCGCAGTCTTACGGTTTACCAAACCTGAAACTGGCGCCGCTGGGGCTTGATAATTCGACTCCCGGGACCAAGGCAGAACGTTTGAGGCCGGAGGATTGGAGGGATGAGCTGGCGGGACAATACTACTACTACGTGGTGTGTGGGCAGCACAACGCGGCTGCAGCGACGTCGCTGCTCGGCAGCGAGGTGGCCAGGAAATACAATTTCAAGCGGTGGCCTGCACGAATGGTCTACTTTACGGACGACGACTTCGAAGGGTACTTCCTTGTCAGTTCCCAGGACAACAAGAAGGACCTGAAGGCGCCCCCACGACAGCTGAAGCTGTCAATGAGGGACATTAGGTGGTAGTGGAAGCGCGCCGGTTGCCCGCGTGCTGTTATGGGGAACCCCATCGGAAAACAGGATCAGGTCCGGAAGTGGCGTGAATTCTGTAATGTCGCACTCAACATGACACCGCACAACAACTTGTGCATTCTCGCAGATCAGCACGGTAAGGAGGCCATCAGGAAACAAGGCGCTGCTCTGCGTTCCTATTTCCCGCTGGCGATGGCAGGGGAGAACGTCTGGAAACTGGCTGTCGAGTTTTTCGAGAAATGGGAGACAGGCAGATTGCTCGGACACGACGGCGCAAAGTGGATCATGCGGAAGAAGAAAGTCAAAAACGTTAAGCCTGGGGTTGCATACATCCATAATGACAAGCTGGGAAGGAAGGAGGTTGTGTACAACGTCCCTGTGGACCCGTTGACAAAGAAAGGCAAAAAGGAGAAAGAGGAGGGCGAGTGGTTCGTGCAAGTGCCAGAGCCGGACGCGCATTGTTGGAAAACGATGGAGTCGCTGACACACAACGAGAAGTGCCGCATCCTGAAGAAGGTGCTTGCTTGCGAGGTGGTTTGGGAACAGGCCGGCTCCCCAACGTTGGCGAAGCTCGGAAAGCAGAGCGTCCAGGAGGTGGTGAATTTGGTGAAGTGCGACCGGGTGCTGGTGCGTCTGTGGAACTATTACCAGTTCAATCACGACAAAAGGCCGAACGCGGATTGGAGCCAGAGGTTTCCGTTCCTTAAATCAAGGTCTGCAATTTTCAGACAGTTTGAGAGTCGTGGTTTGGATGCTGAGTTGTGGGACGGGAGCACGAAATACGTCATTGACTCCTCGCTGTTCAAGGATTGCCTGCCCTACATGGCCTGCGACGACGACAGATCGATCGAGGCGACGAAGAAGCTGGCCGGTTACAAGAAGTTGTCCGTGGACCGGAGGAATAAGGTCATGTCCATGTTAACTGGCAGTAGACTGAAGAGTCGAGAGATCGCGCTAGCCGAAGGCATTGTGCACATAAAATGGAATGACACGGGCGACGTGACATCCATCGCACCATTCGGCAACGACCCCTTGGAGGCATACATAAGGAGTGCGGAGGTGAAGGAGGCAGTGGTTGCCACAAAGAGTCACACATTCGTCCTCGATCTGTGCGAACCGGTGAACCTGAAGCTTTGGAAACCGCAAGCGTTCGACACTCTGAATTCCCAACTCCAGACGTGGTGTCCATCGCATTGGACGCTCGTTGTTTTTGTCCCGCGGCAGCAGGACCTCTCATTTCTGGCCAGCATGAACCATCTTTCTTTCGTCAAGCTGCTGGAGCCTGGAAGGGAAGTGAGTGAGGAGGAGTCAACAAAAGAAAAGCTTCCCCGTCGGGAACAATTTGTACACGGAAGACGACCGGATGTACATACTCTTCAAAGGCGACAATTTGCGGGCCAACACGTCCGTCGTCTACGAGGGGAAACTGTCGGCATGCGCCACTGCTGCAGTGCGGGTACCACAGAAGGTTACGCAAACGGATGTGTCCGACATCCCATTCAACGCTTGCGACTGGTCGCATACCTCGCCTGCACGTCAAGGCATTCTGTACGGGGACGTGGAACGCAACCGCGCCCAATTCGTTCAGCTTCTCGAATCCATCACCAAGGAGGGGGAGGGTGTCGTCTTCCTTGGGAAGCCACATGCGCAGTCAGTCTGGGAAGTACCGAAGGCAGGACGACACGTCATCGCGATGGAAGGGAACTCCGAGCTCCTGCAATTTACAATTGATCTCGTCAAAAGCGAGGTCAATTCGGGTGCCCACAATTGCGAGTTCATGGTCGTCACCGAGACTCGGGCTCGCGCGTGGAACAACAAGACGGACATGTGGTTCAAGTTGAGTGCGAGGAAGCGGAACAAGATATACGACTTCTTGTTCCTGCAAACGCGGCCGAAGAGAGACACTGACCTTGAGTACGTGCGCCACAAGGACCACATGTTCACGTTGCTCGACAACTACCACGGCGCCTCCCACATGAACGCGAAGACCTTCCTCGAGAGGTTGGAGTCCCTTTACTTCGTGGAGTCAGAGGAGGAGCTGACGTTCGGTAGTTACTCCTCCTTGATCTCCACGGAAGACGAGGAGACCACCGGCATCGAGTTCGATGCGACCGTGGACGAGGAGGGCAGTGACACCGAAAGCCTCGACCTGCAGTATGACCAACATTCCGCGCAGCACGCTACAGGGTCGTCCTTGGCAGGTCCGTCGACAAGCCCAGCGTCCCTCGTGTCACCGATGGCGAAACCGGCGCCTGGCACTACCCCGATGAACTTGCTGCAGAGAATGCAAGCTCTGGCCCCCGACCATCGCTCAGTGCGTCCCGGGTCTGACATCCCGCCCGATCATCTGTCTTGGACGAATGCCAACATTCACTTCCTGCCTGAGCCTCAAAGTCGTTCCGCGGAGGCGGACTGGGGCCATGACATGATTTGGCATCCAGGAGTCATCCAGCCGGCGATCCAAAAGGGTGAGTGGATCATGGCGGTCGCTGTCCCGGACGGAGGATGGATGTCGCTCCCTCGCGGGTCGAAGTTTGACTTCCTCGACATCGCTAGAATTGCGGTCCTCCAGAAAGTGAGGGCCGAGAATGGCTCTTTCACACCCGAAGACGTGTCCGTTATTTCCACAGCCGGGCGATTGTTCACCGAACTTCAGGACAAGTGCTGGTTGGAGCTGACGGAGGACTACTACGACCTCGACATGAGCCCCTCGAAAGGAAGGGTGGACTGGAAAATCCCCCCTCCCAGTGGGACGCATGTAGGTACAGGGTCCCGGGGACCGGACGGTGGGGAGAACGAGGGCGATAAGGCTGAGGGCCGCAAACGAGTCCCGGGGTGACAACAAGAGGGCGACGAGGCTGAGGGCGGGTCTCAGGGCGACACCACGACAGCGGAAGGCAGCGGCGGGGTGGCGGGGGAGGCCCTCGGGCGTCAACAGTCTACCGGTCCCGGTCCGGAATGCTCGGCAAAGTCGGAGGACGTGCCCAGTTTATCCGCCTGCTCGGTGATGGCGGCCTTGGTTGCTCTCAGTGCCGGCTCGATCGAAATGTTCAAGTCCGCCGGGATCCGAACTTCAATGCTTGCAGAGCGGATAGATAGGATGGACCCGCAGAGCTGGTCAAGACCGGGGGTGGCGAGTCGTCATCCCAAAATAGACAGCGGTGCGGTGAGGGACGGGACTTTGCCGCCTGCGGGGGATCGCCAACCGCTTCGGTCGGAGCGAGAGGGTGCGTGTGGAGGGCCCGGCGACAGGGAGACGGCGAAGTTCGCCCGGATCCGAACTTCTCCAGGCAAGGCGTGTGGAGGGCCCGGCGACAGGGAGACGACGAAGTTCGCCGGGATCCGAACTTCTTTAGGCAAGGCGTGTGGAGGGCCCAGCGACAGGGAGTCGGCGAAGTTCGCTAGGGTCAGAACATCTTTAGGCAAGGGGGGCCAACCAGGGATATTGGTGAAGTCGGGAGGGGCTGCGTGCAGCGGGCGGGAAGCGCATTCATCCGAAATCGACACGGGTTCGGGCGAAGTGGCTGCATTGCATGCAGGGGAAGAAGGCAGGGTGATGGACAAAGAGAAGGAAGTGGAGGAAGGAGACGCAGGGGAGGAATTGGAGGAAGGAGGGGATGAAGGGGAGGAAGAAGAGGATGAAGGAGAGGAAGGGGAAGAAACGAAGTTGGTTGGGTCGCTAGGAGGGCAGGAGGGGCAAAAAGGTGAACTCGATACAGGAGACGACGAACGGACTTTCGGCGACGATGACAGATCCGGGGAGACTTATGACGGATTCGGGCAGATGTACGGAGAACACTGCGAGGAAGACAATGACGACGATGACACAACACTGGGTATGGAGACACAGGTGGTCACAAACCTTAGGGCAGAACGTGATGACTATGAGGACCAAGCAATGACGTCTGTCGTCGATCTCCAACACCGCTTCAACGAGGCTCGTATAACAGTCAGCCTGACTAAACCGAGTGTGCGTATTGACATCGAAGAAGTTATTGACGACAACCTGGGCGACCACCACATGTCCACGCAGCCGTCCTCGATCCCTGGTGTCGACAACCCTCTCGACGTCAAACCTTTCGGGGGATCTGTCGTCGATTTCTCGCCAACGAGCTCTCCAATGCTGCTGCCGACCATCGCCAGCGGAGGAGAAGGCAGGATCGGGGGACGACAAGATGTGACATCCCCGAAAAAAACTGCCGCCGGCACTCGAGCTCTCGACGTGCTGGCCTTGCCCGCGCCAACTTCGCCGATCAAGGAGCGGAGAGACAAACCAGCTGGTAAGCAGTGACAAACGCCACTCTGTCTCCGCGCCAGTGACCGCAGTGTCTGTCAATGCGCATGAGACAAAAATATGTGTGTTTTTGTTGAAGCGTTTTCTCACATAATGGAAGGATGGTGTTTCTCTTTCGGAATGAGTGGTGGTTTTAGTCCGTCGGGATCCGCACTGCCAATGCCGCTGCGTAACGCTGTTACTCTTCTGGTGCCTCGATTGGGAAAAGTCCTCCGGGATCCTTACTTCACAAATGTTTGGCCTCCGGGTTTGTGGCTTGTTGAGGTTATCCCTTCTAAAGGGCGGGGCTGTCGAGGTCGAACGCACTGCTCCTTTTGTTTTCCAGCGGGCCCTGCGCGGAAGTATTCTCTATCTCTCTCATGGATAAACGGGGCTTTGTAAATAGATAGGTCCTGCGTCTTCTACATTTCGTGGTTCTTGAGTTGTCGTTTTCGTCGGGTTCGTCTTGGATTGCGCGAGTTCATTTTCCGTTTTCTCTTCCTTCGGTTGCACATGGGTGGGGTCATCTCCCTGGGTTGGAAAAGTCCGCCGAGATCTGGACTTCAGAGATGTCTGCCTTCCACTTTTGTGACTTGATGTGCTTTTCCCTTCTGAAGGGCGGGGGTGTCGAGCTCGAATGCACTGCTCGTTTTGTTTTGCAACGTGGCTCATGCGGAAGTTTTCTCTCTCGCACTTTCATGGCATGACGAGATCTGTAATTGCATGGGTCCTGCGTCTTTTAGATTTTGTGGTCCTTTAATTGTCGTTTCGTTGGGTTCTTCTTCGGAAACGTGTATTCACTTTCTGTTTTGTCTTTCTTCTGTTGTACAGGGGTAGGGTCGTCTCGAACACGGAGACCCTCTAAATATCGGGAACACATATTGCATACAGTCCCGACGTTGACGACAAAACACARGRWSAWGKWRARGRMG